TTTACTTATATTTACGCAAGAATCTCTAGAGAGTAAGAGAGAGAGAGAGAGAGAGAGAGAGATTGAGAGAGAAACACTTGATATAAAATTCAAAATTTTGTAAATATTCAAAGTTACACTGTAAAATTCACCTTGTCATCTGTATGTTCTGCGCGACCACCACTTCTTTAAGCTTGCAACTACGTTAACTACCACCCAGGCTGTGAAATGTATTCTCTGGCTTCCCTTCTATTTTACTAGAGGGGCTTCTCTCTACTTCATCCCTTTCGCCCCATTCTCCACCCCGGTATATGCCGACCCGTGGGATGCTGTGTCGGACCATTATTGATCTACTAAAACAAAAGTTTACGATCGTCAATAAAAGTCTAACTTTTCTCGCTACATACGGTATTTCCTCGAAATATTAAAACGAAATAATTAAATAAAGCGTAAAAATATTATAGATATTTTATCATTATCGTATTTCGCTTGTTCAAGCAAATAAACGAAATTTAAGCGAAAATAATGATAATTATTTAAACGTTACCTTGGATTTCCAATAAACCAATAATCATCAGTCGCTGTTATTAATAGATAAACAATATAAAGATAAGTGATATTAGTAAATATATTGAAAGGATATTTCTATTGGAACGATGAATGTTCTGGGGATCAATCACTGTAATCAAATATTTATAAGTCGCTGCGATTTAATTATGGAAAAATGTATTTCTTGAAGTTCCACTTAAACCTTAAATATAGTCGTAACGTTAAAAATAATAAATGTTAAAAAACGGTTTACGAAAATAATTGAACCCAGGATCCTCGATCTATCCTATTGTATATGCACGTACACGTATAAAATATAATTTCCTAAATCGCGCGAACAAAGTACATGTTTAATAATTTACAAAAACGTCTGCACCGAACGGTACCTCCCTATATGCAGATCTTTACAAATTACATCCTCTTATAAAATTTTAATTAAAATAAAAAACTGTCACAATACCTGCTATATAATAGATAAAACGTGTCGAAGATTCGTTTAGTACCTATATACTCCGTATAATAATTTATTAATAAATTGTTTTATGTAAACGCGTAGGTAGGCTATAAGAGTCGTCTTTTTACACGCGGGCGCATAGCAGAACTATAATATATACGGAACGGACGTTGGAATATTTCGTCTTTCGTTATGAATTATATCCTGAGTATTTCTTATGAAGTTTACTCGCTTCCGCGTGCACTTTCTCGTCGTCGGCCGTCTCTGCCTTCGGTTTCTCTAAGATCCCGTTCAGTATGTCGATCGCACGTGAATATTCCTTCAGTGCCGCGTAACATTTGCTAATGTACAATTGAGCGAAAGGATTTTTACTTCCTAATTTCACTGCCTTCTCAAAACAGGCGAGCGCTTCTTCGTGCGTGACGCTCGGCAATTCGGCAAACAATGTTGCTGCCACCTGGGAAAGTAACAAATTTATGGGATTATGAAATACAAGTAGGTAGCACTTTATTGTCAAGTGTGAAGAGGAACCTTTTTCTCGATCCAACTTAAATTAGCTATTTCGTATTTAAACCTTCCTAAGAGGTATTGCAGTTCAAAGTCATCTGGTTGCATTTCCAAAGCCATTTCTACATAATTTTTAAAAACTACGCCGTTCTTTATTTTATCTGACATCGATAAGTAATCGCCGTTCAGTCCTATCAGAATTGAATACCACTTGTACAAATTCGAGTTTCGAATATCAATAACTTTCTCACAGGCTTGTATCCCTATAAAAAGTTCGTTTCAATCGATGTACATGCATACGATTAGAAATAAGAATGCGTCGCTCCACCTTCGAGAATGAACGACCTCCTAACGTTCTTATCAGTCTGGGCTTCTGCTTGATTATAGCAAGCCCTAGCAAATCGCCAAACTATTTCTACATTGTCCCGATGATGGGAGTTGACCAACGTTTGTAATTTATAGTAAGTGTCGACGACGAACTGTCCCTTCTCTTGTTCATCGATCTCCTTAAGTATTACCTCCAGTTGGTTCAGTTCCTCTGAGATCCTACATTACTGAACATATAATCTCTTCCTTTTACATCATTAAAATAACTTGCCAAAATAATCAAACTCTAACTTCCCAAATTTAGTTTAGTTTAGTACAAGTAAGTGTGATCATGCTTAAATCGTGAATTAAATCGAACGTTTCTTAAGACGTTTCCTCAGGAAGCTGATTTTTACTAGAATAAATTACAAATCCTCGTACGTGTCATTTATAGTAATTCGACGTACTTACGTTCTGTCGTATATTAAATACATTTATTATTATACCAACCTTAATTCAGTCTCACTGTCACCATCTGAGCAATCGTAAAACTCGTCGTCTCCGATGTCAGTGTCTGTTGAGAAAACGTCGATATCCGTTGCTTCATTATCTGTCAACGTATACGTATTATCACTGGAATTCAGTTTTCGTGAAATTTTTCTCTTCTTCTTTTGCTGCCTTAGTTGCAACCTTGAATAAAGTGATAAACAACACAAGTGAGATAAGTGTTAACAATTTTAACAATTGTCACTAATATTTATTAGCATATACGTATTACCTTAGAGCTTCTAATTCCGACAGCAGTTCATCAATTCTTTTATTAGCAGTATTTAAATCAGACGTCGTCGTGATGTACTGCTGATTAGCCAGAATCTTTCGATAAATAAAAATGCTAACTGCACTTATCACGCCAACGGTTACGCCGATGGCAGCAGCGATTAAATTATTATTCATTATGCTGTAAATACATTATAATATGAAAACTCTAAACAGGTGCAATATGAAATTCACCGAGCAAACTGAGTACGTGTATGTACGTATATGTAAAAACAAGGAACGTATTTTAAGTACTGTATTAGATAGAATATATAGAATAAGTACCGTTAGTTTATGATATTATATAAGTATTGTATCTAAGAGTACACAAATCATCCACGTTTGTCGTTCGCTAGCATAGTAACTGACCCGATAACCGATGTTATGTATGTACGTCAAAGACAACGTATACTTATAACATTGTTCTATCGTCTCAATAAGTTTCCTATATAAACAAGTTTCGCTCTCTTCGATTCGGCAATGTTTTAAACCACGTAAATATCTCCATACACCTTTTTATAAAACGTTAATAAAGCACATCACAGCTAGCGGCGATCACATATTGTGTACGCGTACCGGTAGTCGGAATCCTGATCCGGCCACCGTGCAAAACATGGTTACGTTAACAATCATTTATAATTGCCGTTTAATTGCTACGCGCCAATTACATAGCACACTTTTACAAGTTCAAAGTACAAAACGGTATGAAAATTAAATCACAAATCATTAGCAGCGTGAACATTGTACATATAATTACGGATGGCTGCGTCTGCTGCATCGGCTGCATGGCCGCCCGCATGCATATACATATATATTTTATATATATATTGTCTCCTTCTGGAACAGCTATATATTGCATATATGTAAGTAATACATACACTAATTTTTTCACGATTCCATATAGTCAAAG